ATTTCTTTTGAAAAAATGCTCTGTAGGTTGCTACAGACCTTTCAACACTAAATTATGACACATGCAAATAAACAAGAAAGTATGATAAGTATAGCCCATAYACAGAAAAAAGCAATGAGCAGAAACTGTCCTTGAAGAAGCCTAAGCATTGGACTTACTAGACCAATACTTGCTTTCATTGCTTTTGTCTTCATATTTATTGGGAAATCAGGAGAGGCTGTTTTTCATTATTCTCAGGCCATTTTACCCTAGTTCAATGTACTGTCTTTGGCCTTTCTTATGTGGGCATATTTATTTATTTACTTTTTTTGGTGGGGCTAGGATCAAACACTGTTCATGCATGTTCTAGGCTAGGCGAGGTGTCCACCACTGAGCTATACCCCTCGACTGCTTATTTTTATTTTGAGAATGGAATCCTAACTAGTTATTGCTTGTGTGAAATTTTATTTGTTGAGTTTGCTTTGTTTGCTCTACTTTGGTCTGATAGTTATTCAGTTGATTTTCTTTTTTCCTTCCAAATATAAGGTCACATAATCTATTAATAGTGACATTTTGTTCTTTGATGTTTTTTATTACCACCTATTATTTTTTTCTTATTGCATTGGATCTCGTCTTACTCATGTCCTATTATGAATTACAATGTTTGGTGCAGAGTTCTATAGATATCTCTTGTGGGATTAGGAAATTTTTCTTCTGTTTCTGGTTTATTTTTATTCAGTAATCAGCATTGAATTTATTGATAATTTTTCTAAGCATTTGTTGAGAAGATTGTATAGCTTTTAATTCATTTTTAATATCAGAAATTATAATGAATTGTCTACATTCTTCTGGGAAAATTTCCCTTTGTCAAAATATATTATTTCTAAGTAAATGGCTTGGATTTATTTGCAAATATTTTATTTGGAACTTATGCATTTATGTTTACAATGAGGTAAATTGTAGGTTTCTATATTGAGGTATTTTTAGTCTATTCTTGACATTACTATAATATTACCCTCTAAAATGTATTGAAAATTTTCTTTAAAGTATTTTTATTATGAAATATTTCAAATGTTTCAAATTTCAAGGTTTTGGATATTTAATGTTTTATCATATTTAYGTCATATTGCTTAAATAAAAAGAAAATTACAAGTAAAATACAGGCCCCCTTTATAGCTCCTCCAATAATTGTTTCCCCTCCTCAGATGTGAGCAGTATTCTAAATTTGGTGTTTATCACTTTTATATTTTTATACTTTAATGATATATTTATGAACCTAAAATGTTTTAAAGAATTACAGATGGGGTTTTACATTTATTATCCAGTTAGCATAGCCATGAAGAATGAGAACTCTTGAGCCAGGTGGTCTCAGCTTGAAGTTTCCAACTATACTAGTATTTTTGTGTGTGTCTGTTTTCATTTTGTGAGTATTGTTAGTCTTCTGAGTTCCTTGACCCTTTTGTTGTTGGGAAATGATCCTCTTTCTCCTGGCTAACATCCCTTGTTTTGAAGACTACTGTGTCTCATGTTAATGTAACCACTCTGTTGCCATCATCACCCCTGATTGGCAATGGATTTTCTTCACTTTTTGCTTGCTGCACAGGTATTTAATTTTGACTTTCGAAAGATATTTTTGCTAGATATAAAATTTTGTATGGACAATCATTTTCTGTCAGTACTGGGGTTTTGAATATGTTGCTTCTTTGTCTTCTGGCTTAGAGTTATGGTAAGAAATCTGGAGTTTGTTGTAATTAATGGCCAATGATTCTTTGTTTCCTTGTACTTCAGCTTTCTTCTTTTGTCTACATGCCTAAAATATTTTTATTCCATGTTTTCATTACTTTTATTTTATGTATCTGATGCAGGGTTCTTTGTGTGCTTTTGCTTGTTAATTATTGACTTTCTTGTATCAGGGGGGTTTATAGTTGTCTTAAAATTTGGAAAAGTTTTGATAATATTTTTTTGTGCAAATATTTTCAGATCCCATCCAACACCTTTCTGAGACTCCAATTAAAGTATATATTAGGCTGAGAATTTGTACATTTGATTTTACTTTTATTTCTTTCATGATTGATTTTGCTTCTTTTAAAAATTATTTATTTATTTATTTAAAAAAATCTATTTATTTTTAAAATTTGTTCTACTTAGTTGTACATGACAGAAGAATGCATTTCAATTCATCATACACAATGGAGYGCAACATTTCAATTCTCTGGTTGTACATGGTATAGAGATGTACCATTCATGCAATCATACGTGTGCCTAGGGTAATGATATCCATCTCATTTCACAATATTTCCTACCCTCATAACCTTTCCTCACCCTCTCCTTTGCCCAATTCAAAGATACTTCATTCTTCCCATGCCCTGCCCCTTCCCATCATAGATTAGCATCCACTAATCAGAGAAAACATTGGGCCTTTAATTTTTTGAGATTGTCTTACTTCACTTGGTATAATATACTCCAACTCCATTTATTTACCTGAAAATGCTACAATTTTATTCTCCTTTAATCTGAGTAATATTCTAGTGTGTATGTGTGTGTGTGTATGTGTATATATATCTATTTATCTCTATCTATCTATCTATCTATCTATCATCTATCTATCTATCTCACAGTTTCTTTATCCGTTCATCTATTGATGGACATCTAGGCTGGTTCCACAGTTTAGCTATTGTGAATTCAGCTGCTATCCAAATTTGTGTGGCTATGTCACTATAGTATGCTGATTTTAAGTCCTTTGGGTATAAACTGAGAAATGGGATAGCTGAGTCAAATGGTGGTTCTGTTCCAAGTTTTCTGAGGAATCTTCACATGTGTGTTTTCCAAARTGGTTGCACTGATTTGCAGTCCCACCAGCAATATATGAGTGTACCTTTTCCCCCACATCCTCTCTAACACTTATTATTGCATGTATTCTTGATAACTGCCATTTTGACTGGGGTGAGATGAAATCTTAGAGTAGTTTTGATTTGCATTTCTCTAATTACTAAAGATGTTGTACACTTTTTCACAAATTTGTTGATTGCATGTGTACCTTCTTCTGAGAAGTGTATGTTCAGTTCCTTAGCCTATTTATTGGTTGGGTTGTTTGTGTTTTGGGTATTAAGTTTTTTTGAGTTCTTTATATATACTGGAGATTCATGCTCGCTCTATCTGATGTGCATGTGGTAAAAATTTGCTCCCATACTGTAGGCTCTCTCTTCACCTCATTGATTTTTTTCTTTTTCTTTCCTTTTTTTTTCTGAGAAGAAGCTTTTTAGTTTGAATCCATCAGAAAACTTCTAGAACTAATAAATGAATTCAGCAAAGTAGCAGGATATAAAATAAAATTCCCATAAATCAAATGAATTTTTATACATGTGATGAATACACAGAAAGAGAAATTAGGAAAACCACCCCATTCAAAATAGCCTCAAAAATATAAAATACCTGGGAATCAGTCTAACAAAAGAGGTGAAAGACCTCTACAATGAATACTTCAGAACACTAAAGAAGGAAATTGAAGAAGTCCTTAGAAGATGGAAAGATCACCCTTGTTCTTGGATAGGCAGAATTAATATYGTCAAAATGGCCATACTACCAAAACTGTTATACAGATTTAATGCAATTCCTATTAAAATCCCAATGACATTCTTCATAAAACAAGAAAAAGCAATCAAGAAATTTATTTGGGAAAATAAGAGACCCAGAAGAGCCAAAGCAATCCTTAGCAAGAAAAGTGAAGCAGGAGGCATCACCATACCAGACCTTAAACTATACTACAGAGCAATAGTAACAAAAACAGCATGGCATTGGCACCAAAATCCACATATAAACTAATGGTAAAGAATAGAAGACTCAGAGGAAACCTGTATAAATACAGTTATCTCATATTAGACCATGGCACCAAAAACACACATTGGAGAAAGGATAGCCTCTTCAACAAATGGGGAAAACTAGAAATCCATATGTAGCAAAATGAAATTGAACCTCTATCACTCATCATGCACAAAACTCAGCTCCAAGTGGATCAAGGACCTAGGGATGACCCTGTACCTAACAGAAGAAAAAGTAGGCCCAAATCTTATCATGGTKGATTAGGCCCCGAYTTACTTAACAAGACTCCTAAAGCACAAGAAATAAAATCAAGAATCAATAAATGRGATTTTGCTCATTTCTGTAAGGCCTTCAAGTTCACTTTCATCTTCTTCTGCAAGCATCTTCTCTGCTGTCCATTCCTAAAAGAGTTATTTTGTCTAGTTTTATAGCTACATATAGTAAAAGGGTAAAAGTAGAAGCCAATGGCCCAAGTTGGATCCTTAAAAATAATAACAAAAAAGAAGAAAAGCAACAGTTTTAAAGCATAATGGATATTCCAGCTTTTCTATTGATATTACTAAAAAGTTAATGGATAAAGGGGGGTCTTAGAAAGTCATAGTTGAATGCCCATTTTAAGGATGATAAATTTGAGGTGATGAGAAGAAAAATAACTTGCCCATTGATGCCTCATCTGTGGATGGATATATGATTTGCAGAGAATCAGCATCTCTTTATTCCTTGTTCATTGTTAATCTTTATATTGTGCTGTATTCTTAGCACTTCAGTTGATTAGAATACWTCATTGCAATTGGCATTAATAGTGGTAAAAATAACACTAACAGTTATATCCAGTGAAGTTTAAAATATATTCCTTTTTGCTTTTGGTTAGATTAAATTTTAGTTTTGATTTTTAATTTTCTTATTCAGTGTTTTGACTTAATGGGCACATTTTTATAATAGGTGATACATTTTCTAATGATCTTATTAAATCTAATAATATGTCTATTGAGATCAACAAACCAAAAGGCAATAAATTGAAAGAATAGACAAAAAATATTTTTTTCTGTATTTTTCATTTACTGCTTGTTATTGAGTAGTTTGAACTTTCTTCACGMATTTCTCACTTATTATATAACTCAGCTGATATTTTGCTGTATGGAATAATGAATTTCAGTGGTTTTTAAAATTGGCATTGCTTTGTTTCCTCTTCTCCCTTCAAGGATATTTCTTTAATGGGAAAACTGGGCCCCAAAATCACTGAGCTGGAAGCAGAAGCACCTCGGACAGAAGAAGAAACACCTCAGATGGAGGCRGAATCATCTCAGATGGAGACAGAACAAGAGTTACACAGCAGTGTTGAGGAACCTCAAGTGGTAAAGTGTTTAAGAAAAATCCTCCTTGCCCATACTAAAGGAGTAGCTTATCTCTTGTTTTTTKAATGTATATTTTTATGTGTTCTTRTTAGTTAACATGATAGTAGAATGTATTTTGACATGTTATACATATATGGAGCACAACTTTTCATTCTTCTGGTTGATGTGGGRTTACATTGGTTGTGTAATCATATGTACCCATAGGATAGTAATGCCTGATTCATTCTACTGTCTTTCCTATTCCCATTTCCCCCTCCCTTCCCTTCATTCCCCTTTGTCTATTCCAAAGTACTTCTATTCTTCTCTACCTGCCCCTTATTGTGAATTAGCATCTGCATATCAGGGAAAAACATTTGGACTTTTTTTTTTGCGGGGGGGATTGGCTTATTTCCCTTAGCCAGATAGTTTCCAATTCCATCCAATTACCAGCAAATGCCATAATTTCATTCTTCTTTGTGGATGAGTAATATTCCATTGTGCATATGTACCATATTTTCTTTATCCATTCATTTGTTGAAGGGCACCTAGGTTGGTTCTATAGTTTAGCTATTGTGAATTGAGCTGCTATACACATTGATGTGGCTGCGTCACTGAAGTATGATGATTTTAAGTCCTTTGGGTATAAACTGAGGAGTGGGATTTGTTTGCTTGATTTTTTTATAGAGAGTTTAAAAAGATTTCCTTCAAAATATTCTAGAGGTGCATTTAARTATAAGCATAACTAATCCAACACTCTGTGAGGAGTGCTGTCCGTGGCTCACTGTGGCTGACTATCATAGAGCTTTGTGCTAAGGCCCAATATTCTTTTAAGAAGGAAAAGGTTATTAACAGCTTTTCTGGTTTAAAGCCATTCAGATATAGAATGTAGTTGGAGAATTAATGAAAAGTTTTTAACTTCTAAGAAAGCATTATTTTAATCTGTAGTTGGCTGGAAGAATTGTTAAAAGCATTGACAAGGGGAGAATGTTGTTCTGAATCTGGACTATGGGTGACAAGTTTGTTTCAGAAATACAACTTTCTTTTTGGCCATCATTGACAAAATAATTGTGGGATTCCAAGCAATCTGGAACATATTTCCTGTGAATGAGAAGTGTCTCCTTGTATACAAAAATTCAGAATTAAATAAAAAAGATGGCATGATGATCAGTTCCTTTACACAGGTCTCATAAAATTATATCACTAAATGGCAAGCTCCTTTAGTTTTTGAAACTGTGACCCCATATACATAAAAATTGAGATCACACTTCATTTTATGATAACATATTATGTTCAGGAAGCATGTGAATCTTTTTGCTAAAGCCATGGGTTCTATAATGTAGAGTCACCACAATGATAGAACTACTAGAGTTTGAGATGCTTCTGGTTGAAACCATGTCTTTTCCCCCTGCCTTCAGACTTACCATGTGGCAAAATTAGTAGCTACTCAGCAATTGTAGTCTCTGAACACATAAGACTTTAGATGATATTCCAGTTCTATATCATAATATGTTAACATAAAAGAATAGTTTTTAGGAAAATATAAATAATAGGTTTGAGTGAAAAGAGTAGTWTTGTCTTACATTTTCTGCAAATCTAATGTCTGATTGTAACAGAGCTAGATTTTCATATCTGCTCCTGAATTTAATCTTTTGCAATGTGTTATTTTGACTGAAATATATTAAAAAATCTGACCTCATGCAGATTGGAAAGGGAGTCATATTTTAATGGCCTTTAATATTATTGTGGATATTCTCCTTTGTTAATGTACTAAAACTCCATAAGTGCTGGTATCTTAAAGATKAGTTGCAATGTGGGATCAGAAACCAGATATATGAACTTGTTGCATATCCTTACATTAAATCCATTGCTCCATCTTGCTTTTTGAGCTAATCTKTTACTCTGGATGATATTTGTGACCTCATGCATTAATCATTTAATAAGTATTGGTCCACTATTTTATCCAATACTGCTTTACCATTATCTGTGAAAATTTTAACACAGTGAAAAAGGTAAACGACATCTTAATATTTGAATGTCCTTTTGACATTGTAGTCCCCTTGAAAATATCTCAAAGACTGTGAGGAATCTGTGGGCCACATTTTGAGAATGACTAGTCTATTGGGTGAAAGGGAAATAGGCTGAGAAAGTATACTTTGGAATCAGGTTGTCTAGGTTTAAACAAAGCTTTGATACTTAACCCAAAGTATGGCCTTGGGCAAGTTATAAAATTTTTTAAGGCCCATTTTCTCATCTATAAATGGGGTTACCAACAGTTCTTATTTCATGGAGATGCACCGAATATTAAAATTAGATGCTCTAGTACTCWCATCTGTTGGTGGCAGGGTTACAGGCATGTGCCACCGAGCTCAACTTATATTTTTAAAGCATAGGAGTAAAATTTTATGGGAAATTTTCAACTGGGTCGATGATGATTGCTAAGGCAATTGTAATACTGTGYGATACATGCTCATACAGAGGAGTTACAGGATCAGGAAAGGCTTTGTAGAGGAGTGAGGCAGGTGGAGTCCTGAAGAGAGGGAACTGCAGTTGGAATCATCCTCCTTTCAAGATGATCTTCTTCCATTTTCTAATTTAGTGAGTGTTACTTTCATTTGTTTCTTCTCCCAAACCATAACCCTGGGAGAGTGTGTGGAGGAAGCCAAGAGGAGATAGATTCAAAAGAAAGGGAATGGTTAACAATGCCCAAAACTATGGTCCATAAAATGAGTGAGTTTATTATGGGTAGTAAATACAGCAGCAGGCCCCTAACATTTGTGACCTCACCGTATCTACTTTGCCTTTGTATGAAAAGAGTCTTATTAATCTTTTTTTTTTTTTTAACCAAAGGGGAAAATAAGGCTGAAAAGGTTTTTTTTTTAAGTCCACTAAGATCAAACATCTTTTCATTGATCCAGGACTTGAATTCAGTCCCATGTGGGTAAAAAGTTCTTAGTCTTTTCATTGCCTGTAACTTTATAAAAACATGAGCTCAGGATTAAAGCTRATTTTACAAAACTGAAACTTCTTGGTCCAGGTACCTCTTCTTGTACAGCAAAGAAATTTATGTACTATTTGGTACTGTGTGGAATCTGTTATCCTTTATTTTCTTATTAGCAAATGTATATATCCAAGGAACAAAAAAGATACAGTTGATCTTAAAGTCATTTYTATGTAATTAGGGCTTTTATGTAAGTCAGACTAGTCTTATCATTTGTTAAATCGAGGTAATGAATTTTAACTGCCAGTGTGCTTCATAATCCCAAATAATTTTGATTCAAAGTTAATTATTACCCAAATGTGGCCATATAGATAATTTCCTTTGGATTTGATGAGAAACATCAGGTAGTGGGACTTTTTTTTTTTTTTTTTTGTACCAGGAATTGAACTCTTGGCACTCGACCACCAAACCACATCCCCAGCCCGTTTTTGTATTTTCTTTATAGAGACAAGGTCTCACTGAGTTGCCTAGCACCTCACTTTTGCTGAGGCTGGCTTTGAACTTAGAATCCTCCTTCCTCAGCCTCCTGAGCGGCAGGAATTTTAGGCACACACCACCACACTCAACTTATATTTTGAAAGAACACAAAGCATAGGAGTAATATTTTATGAGAAATTTTCAACTGGGTGTGGGAGAGATCTATGGTATCTGATAGTCTTCCTGAGGCATCAGGCTCAGGTCTTTTGCTGGAAYTTAAGCCAGCTCTGAAAGAGCAGCTGCCTAAGCAGGAAGCCCRCTTCTGAGACTCTTAGAACCTCAGGTTTGGGCAGTGGACTCCAGGCTGACCTAAGAGCCAAGTGGATAATGAATAGATCTGTCTGCAGTGCCTTTTGTGGAAGGTACACTGGCTTGACACTGTGTGAGTGCTAGGTGGTGCCAGGGTAAGATCTGAGTCTTGTTATTTCCTGAGTTTGTGCCTAATAACTGGAGAGTTGGTATATTTTCTGAGATAAGAGCCAGGGAAAACAAGTTTGTAGAGGAAATTGACCACCTCTGCTACATTTCAAACATGCATTTTCATATTCATTTGGTTGTCAGACAGAAAATGTTGCAAAACTGAAGACTTTAGAAGGACTGGTAAAAAAACAGCATTCTTGTAATTTTACCTTTTTTTCCCCCCCCAGCCAATGTTTGAGGAGCCCTTGCAAGATGTGTCAAGTATTTTCCAGATTGAACAGGAAGCTATACCAGAATGGGAAGGCTCAGAAACGGGAAGCATGTTATTTGGAGCACAGGATATGTCACAAATACAGAAAGCAGAGCCATCAAGTAAACCTCTGCAAGGTAGACAGCCTCCAGGAAAATCAAAAGTCCGCAAGCAGGTATCTTCAAAGGGGAAAAACTGTTGTAAAYAGAGTTAGAAGAGTTGAGGATGTGCGAGTGTGAAGCAATGGGCCCAGGGTTCACCCTGCAAAAGGGCCTCAATAGTTTTATTCCTTTAAGAAAAGACAGCGTATTTTTTTTGAGGGCTTTATTTATTTGTTTTTCTTTCTGACATTGGGGATTAAACMGAGGGCCTCACATATGCTAGGCAAGTGCTCTGCAACTAAGCTATATCATCAGTTCTCTTGAGAGCTTTTAGTTTCAACCCTAATTGCAATTTTGGGAAGAGAAGACAGATTTTCATGGAAAGAAGGAATCTTGGCTCTTCCAGAAATTGACCAATAGTCTTCAAGGTACCATCTATGTCAAGGAAGTCTACAGTGGTCACTAGAATGACCAGGACTGGGTAAGCAGTTTTTTAACTTTACTCCATTTAAGTTTATGCTAATTCCTGAGTTTTTTCTCACTGTAAAAAATGTTTCCCAGATTTGTTTTACTTATGCATCATTTTCATAATTTTTTTACCATATTTGCATATCACCCTACAATTATTTACTTAATATTCTTTTACTTAAATACATTTATTTTAAAATARATATGCTATTTTTAATAATAATGTTATTAGGATGAAAAAGAAACAGTTTCTTTTTTTTAGAATACTAGTATATCATCTTGTCACTGACTGATTCAGAGGGATGCCTCTTTTTAAGTAACAGCCTTCTTGGTCATCCCTCTCCTTCTAACTCCCCATAATTATGTTCCTGACTGTGCTTCACCCAAATCAACTGGTCATTACCTTCTTCAACTTTTGCCCAGGACTCTCAAGTTTGAAACCTGGGATTTATCTGTGAACTTCCCTTTCACATATAATCAGTCTCTGAGGCCTAGATTATTCCTAAACATTATTGATTATATGTTTTTTTTCTTATCTTTCCTGGTTACCTCCATTGTAGTCAGTTCTGGTGAAATTATGTCTGGATTAGTGCACTTGTCTCSTAGTTTTTCTTCATCTCTCAAGCTCTGCTTTCTTAGGTTCATCCTGTATGACACTAGCTGGTTGATCCTGGGAATAATAGATAACAAGGAAGATTTAATAAAGTTGACCAGAGAAAACTTCCCACTGCTTTCAATGAGGAAGGACTCATCATGTGTTGGTGATGGACTTCACTAGCAGTCATGCCACCTTTMCAGAGCAGGCACTTGGGGTCTGAAGTGAAGCCCGGCAAGGCCAAGTGAACCTGCCCATAGTTCACTGTACAGGTGAATCCTGTGTTTAGGCTGACGTCCTCCAGGTATCTGGAAATGGCGGCATCTTGATGAAGAAGCATTAGGCTGGGGGCCACAGCAGTAGTGTTTTTATCTATTCTACCTGAACACTGGGACTTGGGAAATAAATGTGAGCATAAGTGGTAAGTGGTTAGCTACCAGTATGTCAAAGAATRAGATGAATTTTCTGGACCGTGACTTAACCACCATGGCCCATCAGGAATTGAAGTCCCTCTTTAGAAATGTCCTGTAATATGAACTCTTCTGGCTTATTGTGACTATTATTAAACATTATTAAGAAATTATGTAAAATTATTTGTTTTTTATTAAAAGAAGCTTTTCTTTCCTAAGTCACTAGAATTTATTGACTTTGCTAAATTTTTTACACAATTTTTCTTATTTTTTCCTAATAACACCCTTACTTGTCGTTACCTTTCTATTACTATTGCAAAAATGCATCATGAGAAGATATATAGCTTGCCCAAATRCAAGTTAAGTTGTAGATGCAGGACTCAAGATGAGGTTGCCTGATTCTGGAATCTTAGTTCTTATAAYGCTTGGCCACATTGCCTTTTCATAACAACAAGCAATGATATCTGCTTTAGGTACAGAAGCACAGACTCGCAGCTACAGAAATGRCAAGGGATGTAATGTGCATCACCAAACTAGGAAGCATGGCTTCACCAGAGGAACTTAAAGAATGTATTAAGAGGACACCAAACTGAAACCAGAAATGTTTCAGAGGGGAAGAGAATGTCTGATAAGATGTTTTGTTATGGTTTATTGTTGTGGGATATCATGGGACACATCAGAAATGCCATAAAAATGGCACAGAGGATTTATGTGATTAGTTCCACCAAATCTTCATCAAGAATCTTATGTTTATTTATTTATCGTAACATCTCAAGATCAATTATTATCCATGAACTTTAACCCTGTATATGGACAATTGAGGTCATAAAGTTAGTCTCTAGCATCTTTGGCACAGGAATGAGGAACAATATACTCCAGCAAGCCAGGACAGATTAGGGCACAAGAAGATTTTCTGACACAGCTAATAAATAGATCTAGCAGAGAGTTGATAAAGGAGCAACAAAGGACTTCAGTGCTTAAGTATATGCTGGAAGATCTTGTTCAGCAAAAAAGTAGAGAATTTGAACAATCTCCACCTATTGACCATTTCTACTCTTAGAAGCTCTGGAGTATAAAAAATGTCATTGGTACTCTGGGTTAAGTCATGATCAACAACAGAAAAAATATAGATAAATACAATAGTAATCTTGTGAAGAAATGACTGGCACAATATCCAGTCATAAGATTGGTGAGCATTTTAAAAAGGAAAATGTCAGTATGAGTCTGTAAAAAAAATATAGGTTTGGATCATATGACCTGGGATTCTAAATGGAAGAAAGTTTAAGAGGTGTGGGTTGCCCTAAATTCCCCTAAATTATCACAGGACAATTATAAGTGATCGATCACATTCAGAATTTTAAAAATATCCAAAATATGAAGGAAAAAATATATTTCTACAGATAAACATAAAAGTGGCGTGTAGCTATAAAAATTGTACCAAGAAAACTGAGATTCAGAATGGGCTGAAGCCTGTGAATAATGCTAAGAATAACAACAACGAAAGCAATTTTCATGTTAGTTTTAGAGCAAAAGGAAGGAAAAAAAGGAAAGACAGCCCTGTCATTATGGATGAATAGTGTAATGACAACAGATGACAGAGATACCTTAATTTATTTTTAGAAAAAAGGTTGAGGTTTTAAATAAACAAATATGACAGAGAAAAGGAAACCGGCCAACTCACAACTTGGTTCTTAAATCTGTCAAGAATGATCTTTAGAAAGAAGAGAAGAATTGATTTAAAAAAAAAAAGCCAACAACACAAATCTTTGTAAAAGGTCTTCAGAGTTAGATGCCTGAGCCATTGGCTCCGGTGATCACTCCTCRCCTTTGTGTCCCTGTCACAGCAGCTTTCAGGGGTGGCTGTAGTGGGAGAGGAGYTGGAAGCCAGGAGATTGGCAACTGCAAATATGACTTTTAGTTTTTTAAGGGTAAGGACTGTGAATTTTGCAATCAGTGCATTGGTCTTGGATGAGACTCCACAATGACTAAGAGACTTATTCAAAAAGTTGTGTTTGGACCCTTATAAAAGGAAGAGGTAATCACTGGGAGCATGGGTTCCCTAAGGACAAGCCATGGAAGACCAACCTCATTTCTTCTCCTAGAATATCAGAACAGTTAAGATCTGGTTGCTCAATATAGGAGTGTCAYGGGAAGCTCACAGGCTCTGGAGCCAGATCTCCAGCGACCGAATTCTCTTCTCTTTACTAGCAGTGTGATGCAGGCAAACTACCAAACTACTTTTATGGCTGTATAGTTTGAGGAAAATGACAGTGCCTACCTTAGAATGTTGTTGGAAGGATTCTATGTAGAGGCCACAATAGAGAGCACTCAGAACCATACCCAGMACACAGAAAATGCAATGAACAGTAATTGCTATCATCCTGTGAATTTAAGCAATCCACTTATGAAAGCCTCCTGAGAGTTTTGCAGACAAGATGACAGGTGAATTGCAGGAGGACTTAAAATTAGTTATGCAGAGGATGCATGATTGGTTCATGGAAGATTCCACGGAAATTTCAACATATTTCTCAGTCATTTGGATGAGAATGTGGAAGGCTTATTTACTAGTTGAATTTGCAGATGACGTCCSAGACCTGACTGGTAAAATCTGGTTGGCCAGACCTTAAAAAAACTTAGTTGGGGCAAATGTATTCATGGTTCTGTTTTTTTGTTCCAAACTTGTCGATATGCGATGGTAATTCTTAACAGCAGCAAATGCGAAAGACTTCARGTTTTAAACTATATTGTCATTTTGTGATAGGAAGACAAATGCAATCATAGTTTACCTTTGTTGACAAATGCCATGAGAAGATCCTCTTTCTCCTGACTGATTCATCTTATCGCACCTCACACATATGTTCAGATCTCAGTGTCCAACCCCAGGAGGGACTTAGACAAATTAGAGAGAGTTTGGAAGAGAATCTTCAAGGTAACAAAGCATAGTACTTCAAAACCATTTATTTAAGGTAGAGTTGAAAAGACTGGGGATGTTTTTCTGGGGGAATAGCAGTCCCAAAGGAGTCAACAGGGTTCAAAATATTTGAGGGTCTTTTCAAAGTGGAAGAGAGCTAGGTGGTGTCCGTATGGTTTCTGAGGTTCRAATCGAGACTGGTGGTTGTGAGTTGTTAGGCTCAATCATAAGAAAMAAACATGAATTCTCACAAATGGAAAAGTTTCAAAGAGAAAATGGCTGACTTTGAATGTATTTGTGGTCTGTGTTCTTGCCCATGTTCAAGCCAGGTGATGACCACCTGGGAAAGATACTGTGGAGGAAATTCAAACACTAACTGAATGGGAAGATGTAATGCTTTGTCCTCCCTGAATGTTCATTATTTTTCATTACTCCCTTACTCAAGAAGTTGTAATAGTGCTGTCATTTCTACTGGGTCAAGACAAAATCCTATACCTAGTTTATAAGAACTTCTCTTGGTTTGGCCCCCTCCTTCAATCAAATCTCTCTGCTTTTATGAGGGAAGGCCTCTCTTTTTCTTTCTTTCTTAAATCTAATCTCAAAAAAAAAAAAAAAAACCAGAGCAACCCAAGGAAAAAAATGTTTACATGAAAAATTATCAGAAATTGTGCAAAACTTCTAGGAAATCTAGGGAATCAATATTTAAAATTATTTATGGCACAGAATGTACTTGATTTTTGCCAAGCAGTAGAAATAGAAAACAGTGCAACTGTAAGAAGTATAAATTGGTAAACATTGCTCAAAATAATAATATAAAACACTTGAGTTCTTTTTAGCTTGTGCTAGTTAACCACAAGTTATGCCAAACCTTAAGGAACTAGCGATAAGTTCTGCTAAAAATACCAGTCTTGAAGAGTAAATCAGGCTGGAGATGTAGTTCTGTGGTAGAGCACTTGCCTAGCATGTGTGAGGCCTTGGGTKCTATGCCCACCCTGGAAGGGTTGGGGGAGAGATAAAAAGTGGATTTGTGGATGAAAAATATTGTAAATATATTGTAACAATATCTTTATTGCCATGAAGGTGTATATGTAAAAATCTAGGAATGTATTTAGAGGGAAGTAGCTCACCTTTAGCACTTATATTSTGTTATAAACTATATATAGAAATCAGCAGTTTAAATATAAAAACTATTAAATAAAAAAGATCTAATTCTCATGTTACAACTTCCCCTAACAGTATACTTTTTTTTTAAAGTTGAAATCAGGACAACTCTTGCAAATCAGAGGAAAAGAAGTTAAGAGAAAACCAAAAAGTAAACCAAGAATTCCAGCATGGAGATTAGCAAAGTCTTTAAAATACCGTCGTGATAAAAACCTACCTAAAAAGTAACTTCATTAAATTTACAAATTTTACTATCTGAAGAGCTGTCATTCAGTAGCATTGATGCRTGAACATGCTAATGTTTTAGAAATTCATATGTGAGATCTGAGTTAAAACTTCTCAAAGGAAAAGTTGGTGTAGATTTTATAGTCAAGATGTATCTGTGCTTCCTTCTATTCCTGATTTTGACCAATGCACTTACTTTAATAAATGTAATTTACTAGCTGGAATAAAAAAAATAGCTCTTTGGGAAAATAGCAAAATTAAATGTTAGCTGTTAGATTTGATAGTTTTGGTCCCTATAATGCTTGATTTGGATAAACTGCTTATTATACTGCAGGTTGATTTTATGATAAAAGATAATCCACCTCAAAATGTCCACAGGCCAACTCACTTAGCAGTTAATGGATTTATTCTTCTCATGTTTCATCTATGACCCCACCAATATTTTTGATAGAGTTTCTCGTCACACAGGAATACATTCACAATTTTGAACAGCACTATGTAAACACAATTTAGATTATGGCTTACGTTTTGCTGTTCACCTGGTTGAAACTCTGGCTTTCTCTTTATTTCACTACTAGGTTTTATGGGTTGGTTTATTCTAGATTATTCTTCATTTAACTCTTTATGGGGGTTTGAAGAAGCTTTAATTATTAGCTTTTGTTGTTGCTTAGGGCACTGGAAAGTGTGCTGGACTTGGAAGACAACCTTTTTTATGGCCAGCCTCAACTTTGTAAATGGATATTACTCACAATTTAGTAGCTGGGAATAGAGTCATGGGAAAAGAATTCCAAAGTTTATGAAACAGTCAAATTGGCATTTAAGTGACCCCATACATGCCATTGCTTATCTGCATTGCTTTAAGCTCATTTAGTTAGCAAGATTATGTATTAAAACAAATAGTGACAGCAGACAACAAGTATTTTACCTTCAATAAATAGTTACTGTCAGATTATCAATGAAGCAGAAACTTCTTGATTTTTTTTCCCCTAAAAAACCTTGCATTTAGTGCATTAAGCAAAGTAGCATGGCCACACACAGAGTCAGAGGCTTTTCTTTTTTATGTCTCCGTGTTTCAAAGAATGACAAATAGTCCTGCTTAAGGAGAGTGTGCTATAAAAACACAGCCTTTCCTGAGCATGCCAAAAATATTTGTAGATCTTATTGATAWATGTAGTGCTCTTTTAATTCATTAAAACAGAAATTAGCACTTTACGTTAGAGAGAAACAGGAGGAGAAGAAAAATCTGAAGTTAAAAAAAAGTTATAAAAGAGAATCCTGAAAAAAAATTTCTGAACATCTTTCATTCACGGCTCCTTTTTCTTTAATCAGATATCAACCTATCTTTTCTCACCACTGACTAACTCTCACATTATTTTCTTGGGAATCCAGCCCTTTATGGCAGCATATTGTTATTTAGCACAACAATCGAGGGAGAGTCACTTGCTAATCTATRTTGCTAGACTATAATGGGAACATGGGAATGCAGATCAGTTGTGATGCTTTTCAAAGAAAAAAAATAAGTCAGTAATGTAATCTCAAGCACATTCCACTAGCCAGGACCTGTCCCAGTCAGAATGATGGTGCATTTGAGCTTGACATGGGAGCTTACCTTTTGGTCTTCTCTCTTTTTTTCAAAGCCCTTTTGTAGGACCCCGAGTGCCTGAAGCCCTGGCTTCCTGGACACTCATTCCCCAACCTCGCCTTTAGGTCTCTATTTTTCAGGCATTTCTACATGCTTTAGATTTATCTCTCTTTTTTCTTTTTTTTTTCCTTCACCACAGGAACATGTACAAATTTTACGTCTTGTTTTTGTTGGGCCCTGTTGTGAAAATGTCATAACCATTCTCTCCTAGTGACTGAATAATGTACACACATACCTACCAACAGGGTAGGTGCTGTGCAATGCAAATAATAATGACAATAAAAATATAACAAGTGTTTCTTAAGAGACTTTCACAGACCTGAAATGATAGGACTATTATTTTTATCATTTCTTACAAAGATAAGAGCTAGGATTTTTTTTATTTTGATTTTTCTGCAGCTGTTCAGAGAAGGCAGTGATCCATTTTGCAAGTGTTAGAACTGAGATTCAGATCCAGGCCCAGGTGTGCTGGAGTGTGATGGCAGTGGGTATGAAGAAGGAGCATACCTGAGCAACCCTGCGCAGGGGAGAAACACTGTTTCCCCCCATCCTCCAATACTGGGGATTGAACCCAGGGGTACTCTACCACTGAGCTACATACCCAGCCTGTTTTATGTTTTATTTTGAGACAGGGTCTCACTAAATTTCCCAGGCAGGCCTCAGACCTGAGATCCTTCTGCCTCAGCCTCCCAGGTAGCTTGAATATGCAAGTGGAGAGAGGATTCAAAGATGATTTGTACCTTGAAGATGAGGAAGCTAGGAGGGATAGTAATTCCAGAGATGCGATTTAGGAGCACTGAGCACGGAGAGAATAACTGAAACACTGAAGGTAGTTTTTTTCAGTGTAGAAAGAGGGTTTCAAAACTTAGAAGCCACACCCAGTTTGGGAAGCTGGAGGAGTCAGTGACTAAGACAAATCATGAAGAAGGCAGAACATCACATCTTCATTCCTATTTTTGGAAGGTAGGAGAGAGTCAAGTTCCAGAAGAGTGTGAGGGAGATGGCACACTGACTGAGAGAGGCCTGGGTTTCATCCTGCTAGGTGATGGGTGAGGTACCACATATGTTATTCTACCTCTTCAGGGGCATTAGCATTTAAGTAGAGTAGGAAGGAGGAGAGCACATTGGCTAGATATGGTGTCTGGGACTAGTTACAAAATTGAGGAGAGAAGAGGCTGGGGGGTGGGATGATAATGAGTTTGATTTTGAGGTGTCTGTAGGACATTTAGTTTGAGATATTCAGCAGATGGTTGGATATGAGCTTGAAGCTCTAAACAGTAGTCTGGGATTGTAATATGAAAATTGTATCTGATCTCCTGTACTCACACATCCTTTTTAGAGCCTGAACTAAACTGTCAATATAAATGCATTTTGTGTCTGAAGATCACAGGATGATAAAAGCAGCTCATGTCCTTTCCTCTGTTGCAGAATTCTACAAGCCCCTTCCATTCCTCACATGCATGATCTGTGCACCACCATCCCAGGCCGACAGCTGCCCATCGACTTGCACCTGGCCTCTCGCGTGTACCACACTGTCAGCAAGAAGGGCCACCGTACCCTAGTTGAATTTTTTGGATCATGTTTCTTAGACGATCACTTTCTAGACACAGAAAAAGATAAGTAAGTGTTCTTTGGTAATTTTGTTTCAAACAGTTTGACACTGTCAAGGGCATTCTGCCRTTGAGGTTTAGACTTTAAAGGTATGACTCTGTTTTGGGACAGTAGGGAGGAGCCATTTTTGTTCTTTTCCATGGCTTCCCCAGTCCATACACAGAATCAGTATCTCCATTTCCTGATAATATTAACAAGAGCCATGACTGCCTTAATCTGTTGTGTTGCTATGATAGAATACAACAGATGGGGTAGTTTATAAAGAAAATACATTTATTTCTCATAGTTCTGGAGGCAGTTCTGGTGAGGCTCATTCTAAGGTGGAAGAGTAAAGAGCAAAAAGTAAGAGAGTGTGAGATAGTTGGCAGTAGGGGAAGGGGGAAGAGGGACTGAAGTCATCCTTTTTATATCAGGAACCACTCCTGGAATAACTAGCACACTTCTACAGAAGTGGCCCTAATCTACTCATAAGGGCAGAGCCTTCACGATCTAATTACCTCTTAAAGGTCCCATCTTTTAACACCGTTGCATTGAGAGTTAAGTTCCCAGCACACAAACTTTGAAGGACATATTTAAACCACAGCAGTATACTATCATGAGGTAACTTCAGTAGTCTAATTCCCAAAAGGTGTTACATAATTGTCTTATTAGTTCTCTCCTCCTCCTCTTCCTCTTTCTTCTTCTTCTTTTTTTTTTAATTTTTGTACTAGGAATTGAATCCAGGGTCCTCTACCACTTAGATATATCCTTAGCCCTTTTAAACTTTTTCTTTTGAGACAGGGTCTTGCTAAGTTGCAGAGCTGGCCCTGAACTTGCAGTCTTCTTATCTCAGCCTCCCCAGTAGCTGGGGATTATAGGTGTGTACCACCATAACCGGCTTTATTTCTCCTTCTCCTTCTCCTTCTCCTTCTCCTTCTCCTTCTCCTTCTCCTTCTCCTTCTCCTCCTTCTCCTTCTCCTTCTCCTTCTCCTTCTCCTTCTCCTTCTCCTTCTCCTTCTCCTTCTCCTTCTCCTTCTCCTTCT